TTCTATTCTGAATCTGAAGATGTTCCTCTTCCCATCAGGGAGTCTTTATCAAATCAGAAATGTCTGGAGTGTGTGGAGTTCCAAGTGTTATAGAGCTGCACGAGAGGTCTGGTTTTGCTGCAGATTAGACTGGATCTACTTGTCCCACAGAATGGAGGCTCGTTAGGCTCTTTGTTCGCCTCGCCCACAGAGAGATGTTTGGGTCACCTGCACGAGAGTGTGAATTTGACTGGAACTGATCTGGAATCAGGCCTACAGCTGCGTTATAAGTTTTTGAAAGTGGAAATCTGAGACCTTCTTTGTTTAAATGTTTTTTCTACAATGATCTAAACTCTTAAACCTACGTAATTTTAACAACATACATATATGCACTGTACAGTACTGCAAAATCTTACTCACCAGCTCTGCAGACCAGCAGCTCAGTTCTGCTTCTGCAGACCAACCCTTCAGCGACGAAGCCCATCGCCTCGTCCAGGTTGATGTGCACGTGGATAATAGAGCTTCAGGAAGCTTCACGATTATTTGTGACTTTCCTGCCAGTTCTGTCAGTTTAATAGATAGCGTAGATTTGCGTTGCAAAACTTTCCCTCCATTTCGGCAGAAAGCAGCAGCTGGAAGCACTGATGGCTTCTGGGTAGTGTAGGTTTTTTTTTTGACTGGTCTGAACAAAAACTACAAATTGGTGGCGCCTGTTCAAAGTATTTTTTTCCTGTTAATTTTTTTATCTCGTACCGTCCCAGTCATGTAATGTTAAAGTTGACAATCATTGAAAACCTGCAAAAGAGCGAGTCCGCGAAAGTCGAACCGCGAAGTATCGAGGGACTATGTACTCTACTCAGTCTATTATTTCCACAAAATTAACGTTTGGGATCCAGTAACATCAATGTAAGCGCATGTGTTTTAACATGGGGTTATGGGTTTCTGTGCCAAGTCAGAAATGTGTCTTTTCCCAATAACTCAGTAAATCTAGTAAGGCTCAGATGTCCCAGCTTTCCACCAGCCTTGAACGCAGCATTACCTTTGTGAATCTAGGGCAATGAGAAAGTCTCAAAAGTCACATTCATAGACAAGCTGATCCATGCGCTCGTATTGACTGATCTGTCCACAGCGGATTATTTGTGCACGTGTATTTAACAATTTGTAATTGCAGAATACTCCTACTTGTACAATTTGAAATGTGTACATTTGAAAAACTGTCAGTGCCACGGTGAATCTTGTGCTACGCTTGTGGATCTTATTGCACACATACAAGTCTTGTGCCTTCATGTGTTTACTTTATCTTCATAGATTCGTTTGTACAGCTCAGACTGATCCACCATCGATAACGGAGTTAGCAGCTTTTGCTCCGTTCAGGCTAGATGTTAGCTCGTCAGTCTATTCAAAATTAAACTCTATTTCTCCAAACGACGGTTGTTTAAAGAGCTATCTGTAGCAGGTAAGATATTTACTGCTCATAATGTTTCCACAGAACCCCACTTTTTGTTGAACCACTCATGTAAATATACGTTTTGTATGTCAACATGTAAACATCAGTTCGTTTAACATAAATGCCTCGGCGTTCCTCTTTACGGAACTGAAACGACCCAAAAACTGAAACCCAGACAACAATCGGCTTCTGTTTGCTTTTAGGGCCGCTTTACAGTCAAATTCAGACCAAAGTCTGAGGTCTGAATTTTACTGTTGCAAAAGTTGCATTCTTTTACGATGAGGAAATGGAGAGAGCATGTAAGCAGACGAGCAGGGGAAACAAAGATTTCTTGTGACTTCCTCTCATCGCTCTTTATGATTTTAGTTTTAGCGAGTCTGATGTTCTGCTGCTCGTGTTATGAGCACATCTGCTTTTCTAAACCGAACACAAACCTCAAGTTCTATCGATATTTGTATAAATGTTAGTGATGATGTAAAGTTTTTGAAAAGTGATAGAAATGCTGCTGCTCGTGCGTATCTCTTGCATTTTTTTTCTTTCTTCTTCTTCTTGGTAGCTGCTCTGTACCTCTGCACCTGATCTTTAGGCTGCACGAGAGACGAGGCGCATGTGACAAACCCAGACAGGAAGAAGCCTCGCACCTTACTGGCGGTAAAAAAATATAAATAAATAAAAAAAAAACATTTAGGCGTGAGCCATTTGATGTAACTTTGGTCAAAGTCAGGACACAGTTGACAAACGACAGAAACAGGTTCGTTCGTTCTGCGGGTGAGTTACTGTTAAACTTTTGAAGAGGATTTTCTTTGATCTTAAAAACAGGAAGCTCATAGTTTCATGCTTTTAAGCTCACAGCCGTGACTATATTTATATTTATATCTATGCAAATATCTATATTTGTGATTGTGGTTCTGTTTTTTTTATTTACTTAATATTTTTAAATGTTGGATTACACCAGCATTGTTTTTGTGTGAACATATATGGGGGGTTGGGGGGGTGGCTGCTCACTTTTATTTTTCTTGTGCACTGGCAGCCTGTCAGTGAGCTAGCCAGGAAGGCCCCCTCCTCCTCTCTGCCGATATGGTCTATTGTGAGCCTCTGCAGGGTGGATGTGCTGAGTATTGAGTTTGCAACGGATCTATTTAAGGAAACGTTGGAACGGAAAGTGTCCAAAGGAAATATTAATATTGTAAAAAGCAGAAGTAAGGGGCGATGCTCCAAAATAAATGATGCATCAGATCTCATTCTTGTTTTATTGTTGGCATTAAACACTTGGTAATTAATGTCATTTTTTTTTTTCCAAAACATGTTCCTGGTACGCAGCTGAATATGGAGCTGCCAGAATAACAGCAATTTGAGGATTGGATGAAATGATTAGGCGGAACAGTATAGATAGAGCAACCACAATGTTCTTGGTTGATTCTGATTTACAACTTTTGTAGAGCTTTGATCCGATAATTTTGACATTTCTTTAATTCACACATGCATGCATGTACATAGGTATTAATATATGTATTGTGTGTGTGTTTATTTATCATTGTAAAATGGCCACCTCAACCCTTTGAGGAATCTCAGCTTTCTAGTTTTTATTACATTACTTAAAAATATAGTTTCCTCAAAGGATTGGGGTGGCCAATGGTGGCTCCTCCATTGCACCTGGGGGTGGATAAAATTTTTCCCTCCACTCACCAGGATCCGTCACGCTGTGTCGCCTCGGATAAAATGTGCTTCTAAAGTGCTTCTCTACTGTATAATTCCTACCTACTTGAATGTCTTGCACCAAAAACATTCAGGTTTACTTTCATTCCCTGTTCAGATCTGGTCCAGAAAAACACTCATCTCTAAAACTACAAACATTTACTATCTAAGTCTTTCAGCGACGAGGGGAATTGGCGTACCACTTTTTCACTTTGTGAAAACATGTACTGTATTTGCTGCCGTACACGTCGCACTGCCGTATCAGTCGCATCAGTCCAAATATGTCTAATAAAGTGAAAATAAATACGTTGTTTCGCCATATAAGTCGCATCTATTATGTGTCATCGCTGATTCGCCACATTTGTTATGCGTCACCGCTGACCACCCGGAAACGTACGTGGGCCAGTATTGTGCCAAAAATTCGACTGGCTGCCAAATGGCGGCCGTGGGAGGGTGCATTGGAGGACTTTAACAAGAATTTAACAAGACTAACACAACAATAATTGTTTGTGAGCTCAACATTATAGTAAAGGTGTGTCTCAGTTGAACTTTTCCTTAATAAATGCACTTTAATGGTCAAATCAGCTGCATTTCGCCGGGGCTGCGCTGCAAAATGCAGCTGATTTGACGTTTGCTCCAGGAGTTCCAGAGCGAGACGAAGGTGGCTTTGTATGGCAAGCCAAGTGTCTCATTAATAGCTACTTTTACCTATTAATGAAACACTTGGCTTGCCATATTAGTCGAAGGCCCTCTAGTGACTGAAAATGGTAGTGTTCAATATTTTCCATGTCAGAATGAATGAAATTGTCAGATCTCAGCAAAAAATTGGATTATACATATGGGGAACTAAAAAAAAAAACATATATTAGTCATTTATAAGGCGCAGGACCTGCAAATTTATGCAACAATGTGTGACTTATACGTCGAAAAATATGGTAACGCAAACTAGCTCCTTAGCTGTGTTGTATTCACAAACGGTGCATAGCTGTGGTGCATAACTTCAAAAAGGAAGACGTATCATAATTTTTGAAGGATGACCTGACGCCAGTGGTCGGGTTAAATTGACCAAGTCTGGTCATCAGCTGGAAAATTGTTGCATCCCTGTTTAAAACTGTATTTCTTTGTGTGCGTTTTTTTAAATACAGGTGGCCAGTGTATGAAGGCTGCAGGCACTGAGGAGTGCAACCCAACACATGCCATGATGGACAGGTTGATACCGACAGAGCCTCTCCTACAAGGAGGACAGAGAAACCGGCTCCAGTGATGATCGTCTCATTCTCGCTCCTCTGCAGCCAGCAACCTTCACTTAAACCCAAACCTTTGTACATGTTGATGGACCCCTCCAGCAAGCTACAGCACATTTTCTCCTCTGCCTCTCCCACTCATCAACGCACTGACAAAGTGTGGCACCTCTCATCTATGAGAGCCCAAAGGCTGAAAGAGTTCTTCCATCTTAAGTGGTGTGAATGAGACTATACGTTTGTTGATTTCATTTTCATGCACAGCCTCCTCATTTCACACCAGCACCACAGAGAGCAGGATAAAAAGTTAACTGGGACAGGAGAAAGCTTCAGGGAATAGATTGTTAGGTTGGAGTCACGTTCTCAGGCACCATGCAGTCAGACGACTTCTTCATCCGCAAGTTCCGCCGTCAGAACGTGCGGCCGCCTATTGCCGCCGTTAATTTTGACCCCAAACCGGAGTCATGTGTGGTGGAGTGGCCTCCCAGGAGGGCTGGGGATGGCGCTGATGCAGACAGCCTCACTCCGAGCCGCGTGGGATTGTCGCTGAGGTCAATGGGGCGGGGCCACATCATGCAGAGGAGTAACAGCGATGTGACTTTAGGAGACTTGGATTCCTCTGGGAAATCAGCGGGAAAGATAGCCCGAATGGTGGGTGACAAGGTGGGCGTGGGGTCTCAGAGGGACTCAGGTGTGCTGCTGCACAGGGAATACGGCAGCCTGTCATCTCTGGAGAGGCAAAGTCAGATCCAGGAGCCGAGCGCAGACGGCCAGGGGCCCCTGAGTCCAAACGCACTCCGCTTCAAAGACCCCTTTCTGCTTTTAGGATTGAAGGAAACCCCTCCAGAGCCTGACGGCTTCTTTCGAGGTTTGTCTGCTTCCACAGGGGACTCCCACAAACCTGATAAACCACCAAAGCCTGAGGGTCTGAGTAAAAAGTCTAAATCCACGCCCCCTCAAGTCCCTCAACCTGTTCCGTTTGACAACCTTGGAGGTGGAGCGTGGGTGAGGAACTTTGCCCACTACGATGTTCAGAGCATCCTGTTTGACCTCACGGAGGTGGCCACAAATAGAGACAGCATCGGACGCAAAAAGAATATCACCTCCGGGGCTTCAGCTGCTTCCCAGCTTCGCCCACCCTCCCAGTCCACCCCATCCTTGCCCGCACAGGGTGGGAGCAGCAATGGGGGGAACACCGATGACCCCGAGCAGTCACTGCTGCTGGATGAAGGCGACGGCAACGACAACGAGCTCCTCCTCAGCTGCCCCCACTTCCGCAACGAGACAGGAGGAGAGGAGCAGGTCGGTCTGGGTCAGTCCTCTGGAAAGAGGGGGCTCTGGTCAAGCCTGCGAACCCCCAATGATGCCGTTTCTGTCCTGGAGGAGCCCAGAGAGAGTCACGTCCAGCTGCAGGGCAAGAGCAACTACTTCATCGAGCACGCCGATCTGGGAGCTCATTACTACCGCAAATATTTCTACATGAAAGGTACGTCACAGAGCACAGCCTGACACCTTCAGATGTGGCTTCGTTCATTTATTTTCAGCTCCGCAAGAGAAAATCCTGTGAATTTTGGTTAAAAGTTGCAATTTTTCATTTGAGACTGTGTGAGCAATATTAGAGCAGAGCAAGTGGTCAGAAAATTGACTTTTAATGAATTGAAAATTGTTCAGCAGGGAAGATGAACGTTCAGCTTTGATACAAATGAACCTTTATGTACGACCGAGTATTAGGGCCACGCTAAGAAAAAAATTACATTATGAGAATAAACTCATAATATTATGAGAATAAACTCGTAATACGTCCTGGGTCGGCTCGCACCTGCTGTGGACAGCCTCCAGTGTGAGTCACTGTGTTTATGAAGTAGTCCACGATCACTTTTGGGTCACTGTTTGTGAAATATGCCTCCATCCACATTATGTCATGACTAAATCCATCAATGCAGCCATTAATTGCAGTGCCATACGGCTTCAGTTTATCATAAGAATCCATATGGCACAGTGCGTTGGGCCCCCTGCTATTGTACTGCTGACGTCAAGTCATTTTACTGCAGTTGTAAGACTGATTTTTCGTCTCGGAGTTCTGATAGTACTACGAGTTTATTCTGGTAATATTACGAGTTTATTCTTGTATTATTTCCACTTTGTTCTCGTAATATTTAGACATTCTCGTACGACTTTATTCTCGTAATCTTACAGCATTATTCTCGTTCATTACGTAATTTGTTTGTTTTTTCTTAGCGCGGCCCTAATACTACGTCTTATTTATGAAAGTGTGAATCTGTTAACTTGCAACATCTGTGGCATTGTGCTGTGTGATAAAACTGCACATTTTAGTGTGGCCTTTTATTGTGGTCAGCCTAAGGCCCTCCTGTGAGGGGGATGGATTATCTCAGCAAAGGACAAGTGCTCACTAACAGAGATTTACACAAATTTATGAACAATATTTGAGAGGAAAAGACCTTTTGAGTACAAATAAAAAGTCTCAGATCATGAAGAATGAGAGCAAAGTTTGTATTTTTGTTCAGCGTAGTACGTAATAATCATAATGATGAGTGACATTTGAAGTTGCTTGTTGTCAAATGTTTTTATAGATAAATCCAAAGTTGTTTTTTATTATTTTGCTTAAATAGCTGTCACGGGTCTTGTTGATCACAGTCTGCAAAATATTAAAAAATAACATTGTTTATGATTTAAAAAAAACTTTTGATCGTATTCATCAAGATGAGAGTTCTGCGATGGAGTTAAACTCAAAGCAGTCTGCTCCTCAGATTATTTTTTAAATATGAATGTTTCTGATGACTTATTTTATATATGAATGTTTCTGTTCAGTGCCATGAGATGACTTGTGTTGTGACTTGGCGCTACATAAATAAACTGAATTGAATTGAATTGAAATTCACGGTGGCTCTACAAAAAAGTTCATTTTTCTATATATTTGTTGTTTTTTATTGGTTTTAAAATTACAGTTAGTAATTAAATAATGTACTATTTGTCCTCCTTTTCATATGCCTGCCCACTTTTCATCACCCCAGCTTCAAGGTCAAAGTCTCAAATAAAGGTCAAAGTTAAAATAAGGTTTTTGCTCGTCGGGGACGTAACTTCTGATCTGGAGAAGATAATATAACAAATCTTTATACACATGTGCATAATCATTAGACAGTTGCATATACTTTTCATTACCCAAGCCTCAATGTCAAGGTCATAAATCAAGGTCAATGATTGTACAACATACTTTTTTGTTGGAGCCGTTGCTATGCATTGCTGTATAATAGTTTGTTGATGGGCGTTTAATGTGCTGTATGTGATAACTGAGTGCTCAAACTCAAGTTAATCAATTTTACTACAATACTCATCAAAAATGAGTCGTAACAAGCTCCCTCAAAATGAAAATGTGCACAAAAATCATTCTATCTGTTAATGAACCTTATAATTTAATTTCCTCTTTAAACATTTTAGGGGTTACATTTTTATTTAATTATTTATCTTTGTGTGATCAATGTTTCTTGATATGGTAAACAAATATTCTTGCAAATGGGCTTGTTTTGGAAAAATATTCATAACTTCCTGGAAGTTTTATTTTTTTAATTTAATAAAATGTACCTGTCAAACCTTAACTGCGTTTTGAGCTCTTTTATGAGCCTCGTATGTTAAATCTGGACAGATTTAATTTCCGCACCCACTGAGAGAACTCGTTAACTGTGTCGCTTTTTATCATTTCTGCAATTTCCTTACAGAACACCAGAATTTCTTTGGGATTGACGATCGCCTCGGTCCAGTGGCCATCAGCTTCCGACGGGAGGAGAAGGAAGGGTCCAGTGGAGCTCAGTACAACTACAGGATCATCTTTCGAACCACAGAGGTAAACGTGCTCTTTTTTCTTGCGCTCCACTTTCAGAATCTGTGGAAATAATTTGACTGGATGTGCCGGCAAACCTTCTCTCCTCAGATGAAAACTCTGCGAGGCTCCATCTTGGAGGAGTCGGTGCCTTCAGCTGCCCGTCACACCACCCCCCGAGGTCTGTCTCCCAAACGGCTGCTGGAGTTCATCATGCCTGAGCTCAACCTGCACTGTCTGCGCTTGGCCTCGAACTCCCCGAAGGTCCGGGACACCCTGCTGAAACTGGATGAACAGGGGGTGAGTGGGACTCTGAGACACTACAGCTGCAACCAGAGGGCTTTGTTCAGTCAGACTTTGAAGGAATAGTTCATTCGTTTGAGGTGGAGGTCTGTGGAAACATTATGAACAGTTAATATCTTACCTGTTGCTGATAGCTCCCATTTTATAGAAATAGGCTTCAATATGACGAGCGTTCAGTGCAGTTAACTAAAAAACAAAAGGCAGACGTGGCAGCACACTAGAAATCTCTAACCTAATATTCAAATGCAGACCAACTCATCGGTATAATCAGAACAGGATACAGAAAATCATGAACATACAGACGACAGTGGAAGACAATCCGTGCTGAAATGGCAAATCAAGGAAACCAAGAATGTAGACAACCAGAAAGGGAACGAATAAAACCGAAACGCCTGATCAGATTGCAAAACGGGAACAAGTGTGAGTGGCGATGCTGTTTAAGATCTGAGCAGGTGAAAAATGAAACACAAAAAGCAAAACCATCAAAATAATAATCAAAATATTCTAATCCGCACACATTTGGGCTTGATGGAACGGTCTTGGTCCCCTTCATAATTGCTGTTTGCTCATTAATCCAGTCGAACATAAACTCATATTTCTCCAAACTAAGTTATCTACATCAGGTAAGATATTAATTGTTTATACCTTTCCACAAATCCCCACTTCAAAAGATCTGAGCTCTTCCTTTAATATCTAGAGCTTTTGTTTGTTCACTTGAACCGCTTTTAACTTACGTTTGGCTAAAGCTCCAAATTTTTCTGAAAAACTTGAGTCCTTTGCAAAGATTAGATTTTGTTTTATCGTTTTTAATCTTTGGTTGTCTGGTAAATGTTTAAAATTAAATTAAAATAAAAAAAAATGGTTAAATATTATCCTGCTAAACAATCTGAAACACAAGAAAACAAAAGGATAAAAAACAAGAAAGTCTTTAAAACTGTATTTGAAATTTGAGACCAGTAATGTGCCAAAGAAAAGACTGAATACATCAGGTTTTAAAATCTCTTTAATATTGTGACTTACAGACTTTTCTCTTCATACTGAAGAAGTTGTAAATAACTTAGTCCTCAATGAAATCTCAGAAACTTCCACCTTTTATGGTGTAAAACTCTGTTAGCACTCAAAGGCCAATAAATCTCATTTATGAACAATAAATTGAGGATTTAAATGAGGATGAACAGCTAGAAATATTTTAATTTATTTATTTTTGTTTTTTTCTGTGCAGCTAAACTTTCAGAGGAAGGTTGGTGTGATGTACTGCCGCGCCGGGCAGAGCTCCGAGGAAGACATGTACAACAACGAGAGCTCCGGGCCGGCGTTCGAGGAGTTTCTGGATCTGCTCGGAGAGCGGGTGCGACTGAAGGGCTGGGAGAGATACCGAGCTCAGCTGGATAACAAGAGTGAGCTGAAAACACGCCCCGCACCCGAGTCTATTAGCCGCATCGCGCTTTGTCGCAGTGCCGTTATCCGAAGGGCATCAGTGTTTCAGTGAAAGCCTGAGATAACCGTTATCTGGCCACGTGTAATCTGAGTAATGCCTGCAAAATGGCATCGTCGCTGCTGATTATCTCCGAGCTGCTTCCTTCAGTGGGACAGATTTCAGTCTGGCTGTGACGGTTTGTGCTCAGGCTTCAACTCGGAGATGGCGTTTGGTTTAAACGCTTGTTCTGTGTGTGTGATTTGCAGCGGACTCCACTGGAACGCATTCCCTCTACACACGCTACCAGGACTACGAGATCATGTTTCACGTGTCCACCATGCTCCCCTACACCGCCAACAACACACAGCAGGTACAATGTGACGAACGGCTTCGTTTTCCTGCTCCTCCTGTTGCAAAATCGTCGTTAAAATACTGTATGTGAAACTCGTGGGTTTCACAGAGTTTCTTTACTAAGGGTGAATCTGTGCAACCTTCATGACACCTTTCTGTGCAGACTGTTCTGCTTTGCTGAAACTTTAATAAAAGCTTCTGTACTTGGAAATAAGCATGACATCCTGCGTCGCAGTTTTCACTCCCACCTTCTGTTTTCACCGTTGCCTCAGAGGCGGATTTCTTCCTGTTCATCTGGCTGTGCAGTCTGCGGTTTCAGCCTGTTTGTGAGGAAATCGAAAAGAAGTCACAAGATTTGAGGCTAAAACAAAAAATAATCATTTCAAAAATGGCCGTAGTGGCTGAGCTTTAAAAAGTCTCTGAAGATTTTGTTAGAAAATGTCCTTCTGTTGTGATAAAAGAACTTAAGTTTCACATATTGCAAGTTACAGTGCATAAGAGACTTGCTCTTATTTTTTTAAAAGTTGGCATTATTCGGACTATAAGGTGCATTAAGCGAAACAAAACAAACAAGTCAAATTTTACTCAACTCATTCACAATAACTCCCATCATTGTTGAGTTGTACCACATAAAATCGGTTCGAGGTCAGTAAACACAACCACCGGGCTCACTGTTGATTTTTGAGACAATGAAAGGATTTTAGGTGTGCCTTATAGTCTGAAAAATACGGTAATTTCCTCATGCTTAATTGAAATGACTGAGTGAGTTTGGATTATAGTACCAAAGCCTCTCTCGTCTTTTCAGCCCTTTTATTGCAGCCATGCGCAGGAAGTGCACCGAGCCACTCCTCGTCTTTACATTGCGAGCTGTTTCTCATTATAGATCACTTCTAGCTACAAACTAAAATTAATTCTGACACAAATTACACCCATCAACGCATGTTTTTGCTATAAAAGAAAGCAGTTGGCTGAGAAATTAAATGAGAAATGTTTTGTTTTCATGCGTAGATTTATCTTTGTAGTTTCACCAGTGACACTTGGCTCTGAGCCCTTTTTATTTGGCTCAATCGTCTTACTTGATGTATTTATTTGGTCCAGGTTGAACTACGATAACAAAGGCCTATCAAGAGTTAAAATCACATGAAACTTCCTCCAATAGATAAGTCATGAAACCCGGTCTTTATTGTGAGAAGGTGGTTTTCCAAGACAGGAACTTAAAGAATCAAAGGCACTTGTAAAGCATTAGTAGTTCTGCTTTTCTCAAGTTAACTGTAGTTTAAAAAAAACTTTGAATTTTACCTGTTCACAATGAAGCAAGACGGCTTTAACGTCTGATGCAAAGTGCATGCAGCCGCAAAAAGACAAAATTAACAGTTTCCAAACTCAAATTAAATGGTCTAATTTTCAAAACACAATTTTTTTTAAAGCCTAGCATTCCTTAAAGGAATGTGTTTTGCCAAAAAAACAAAGTTTTATGCAGAGTTCATGCAATATGTAGTCTTCAAAAAGTGTGTAGTTGATGCTCAGCTACTACCACACCAACGTTTAGCTCAGTATCTTTATAATTGACCGACTTATAGCCTTTTTTTTGTTGCTAATGTTGATTTGTAAAATTTAGCAACATTGATGATTTCTTTGTTTTCAGTCTGAGCGGGTTGATATCATGTCGCTGCGTTTGTGTTTTGTCTCCTCAGCTGCTGAGGAAGCGACACATCGGTAACGACATCGTGACAATCGTGTTCCAGGAGCCGGGCGCTCTTCCGTTCACTCCCAAGTCCATCCGCTCCCATTTCCAGCACGTCTTCATCATTGTCCAGGTCCACGAGCCTGGCACTGAAAACGCACATTACAGGTTTGTACTGATCGTTTTATCACTTCCTGCAAGTCTCGGATAATTAGATGCTTTTATAGAAGTTAAATTCAAGCTGATTTGTTGCACTGTTACAGGCGAAGTAAAGATGTGAGAAGACGGAATTAGTTTTCCGTCTTTTGTGCTTCTGTAAGAGTTGTAGCCACCTCAGTTTAGGTGTCAGGCAGCCGAGGAGGCGACACCCATGTTTTCCACATACAGTATAACCCTGCTGCTGAAAATCAGACAAAGATGGAACATTTGAAGATGGAACTCTTCAGCCTACACCTCAGTGTGTTAAATTAGATCAAGACATATCTGGATTTTTTTTTTTTTTAACTTAAAAAAGGGCATCCCACAAGGCTCAGTACTCGGCCTGTTGCTGTTTAGTCTCTTCATAAACGACTTGCCCCTGCACTGTTCAGGTGTCAGCTGTCAACTTTATGCGGATGATGCAGTTCTTTATGCACCCGCTAAGCCACCAGAACAAGCTGCAGAGGTATTATCCAACTGTATGTCTGACATCCAACAGTGGCTCATCCAAAATCAGCTAGTTCTGAGCATTTCAAAAACAGTCTCCACGTGTTTCTCAATAAGAAAACTTGCTTTAAAAGAAAAATTTAACGTTCATTTACAAAATGAAAAAAAAAAAAATCACTCTGTTGCAGCATTTAAATACCTCGGTTTGGTGCTAGATCCTCATCTTAAATTTGATAAACACTGAAAGACAATTTCAAAAACAATACAAAGTAATATTAATTGTTTCAAACTAATTAGAAACTTTATACCAAGTCAGGCAGCCCTGCTATATATGCATTCTACGATTTATCATATATCATGACCACATGGGCTCAGGCCTCTCCAACTGCAACCAAACACATTGGCTCTTTATACAACCGGGCTGTAAAAATATGGATAAAAAGCCAATCTGCTGTCACCACTGTACCATTATTAAGAAATATAACCTAATGAGCTTTGATAGCTTTATTAGTTTTTGTTTTCTTAAACTGTTTCATAACTGCATCAATCGTGTAGCACCTGCGCCATTACTTACATTTGTTGAGAGACAGAACAGCAACAGAGTCACTAGAAGTTTCACAAATCATGACTGTAAAATTTTGCAGGATAAGTTTTGGACAGACAGCCTTCTCTGTTAGGAGCTGTGAGCTGTGGAGCTCATTACCTTCTGATCTTAAGACCACAAATGACATTAAAATAGTCACTTCAAGGCTTAAGAATTAGCTAAAGATGAACCAGAATTGTACTCATTTTTAAATAGTGTAATTGTTTTAACTCAGTAGTTTTAGATACGTTGTTTTATATTTGTTTTTCATCATTTTATTGTATTTACTGTTGATTTGAACTTTCCATTTAACCAACTGTTAAAGGTCCGTCTAGGGACGGGTGTTGTGAATTAGCTTTGGCTATAAACACTGTGATGCAGGCATTAGCTTGTTTTGATCTATGTTTCATATATCTGCCCTGTCAAATAAACAATAAATACATTTCTGCCTCTGATTTTTGCCTCTGATTCGCTCTCCTCCTTTCCTCTCAGGGTGGCTGTGACACGCTCTAAAGACATCCCATTATTTGGCCCCCTGTTCCCAAAGGGTGCACGGTTCCCTCGCTCGCCCGCCTTCAGAGACTTCCTCCTGGCAAAAGTAGTGAACGCCGAAAACGCTGCCGAGAAGTCGGAGAAGTTCCGCTCCATGGCCACCCGCACGAGGCAGGAGTACCTGAAGGACCTGGCTGAGAACTACGTGACCACCACACCCATTGACTCCTCCACCAAGTTCCCCCTGCTCTCTCTGGGTGGCAAGCGGAAAGACAAAATGAAGGGCACCAAGGGAGCCGAGCTGCACAGCGCCGGGGCGCTGGTGTGGGCAGTGGTGGTCAACAGAGAAGATGAATGGGAGGCGGGGGAGCCGGCGCTCCCCTGTCTGCTGGGGGTGTCGGCGGAGTCTGTAGTGCTCATCGAGAGGTGCAGCCGCAGGGTGGTGTTTAACTGTTCCTGCCGGGACGTTATCGGCTGGAAGGCAGTGACTGGGCCTAAAGAGGGGGGGCCTTGCTTGGATATTTTCTACGAGCGTGGGGAGTCGGTGTCGATCAGTGTGTTGGAGAGCCAAGCAGAGGACATAAAGGAGGTGGTGCAACGGCTTGAGGTGAGTGGATTCACCATTAGTTGAAGGACTGCACTGAGCGCCACACATCAGATCCTTCTACTCTGCTTTCATCCCGCAGCTCGTTACGCGAGGCTGCGAGGCCCTGGAGGTCATCCCCCTGCGGGACGGCGTGGGGCAGCCCGGCTTCCTGATGAACGAGGAAGGCTTCGTGACGGAGCTGCAGAGGTTCTGCTACGCCGAGAGCGGCGGCCTGCAGCTCTGGGCTCGCGTGGTGAGGCTGTGTGGACACTCCCTGGTTCATCTGAGCTCAGAGGAGAGGACCAGGGTTCTCCGCACCGCGCACAAGATCCACATCACCGTCATTCCACCGGACGAGAACGGCAAACCTCGCAGGTAGGCGATCGTGTCGGGAGGGAGACGGGCAAGTGGGACATGAGTATGTCAGGTCACAGCTGGTTCTGCTGGTAATGATGGGCTGCAGTCCCCTAAATCCTTTTTATTGATGTATAATCACTGACTCAGCCACTGAAGTCAGAGAAATAGAAGAATCATCTGTGGACTCATCTCTGCTGCTCAGAGCAGAGGGATCCTCAGAGAACCCCCCTGACATATCCATGTTTCTGCCCTGAATCACGGCTCTGTCACAGTGACGTCATAATTTGTGACAGAAATGGGGCTTCAAAAGAATCTTGTGATTTTTTTTAATTTCTTTTTGATTGTATGTATAGTGTTCTCCTGTTTGAATATTTAGTTTTTGTACCTAAACTACAACATACGTTGTGTTGTTTTAGCTATCTGTACATCAAAACATTTAGCTCTTCCAGGAGATGGGTGCAATGACCTTCGGTCTTTATAACTTTTATACTTTTCAAATAATTAAACTTTATTTACAACTATTTTACTAATTTAAACAAAACACATATGGCTACTTTTAGATTATTGCTAGTTTTCCAACGTTTAGGTCTTTGCAAAAGTGCTAATTTTGTTTGTTTTGTTTTATTAGCTAAAATTTAGCCCCTTTAAACCTTGAGCTATTGTCCTTTTTTTAGCTTTTACCTAGCATTTTGCCACTTTGGTCTTTTATTTTGCATTTAGATGTTTTAGCTTTAGTTAGTGTTTTGTTTTTAGCAATTAGCTGGTGTTTTGCTATTTTTTGTCTTTCAGAGAGCATTTTGCTTTCTTTTGCTTTTAGGTAGAGTTTTTCTCCATTAAGCTTCTCGCTAGTGTGTCTTTTAGCTTTTGGCTTGCATTTAGCCACTTTTGTCATTTAGTTAGCATTTTACCTTTTAACTTTAGCTAGTGTTATGCTCTTCTTAGTTTCTAGCTAGTGTGTTGTTGTTTTTTTGCATTTATATAGTGTTTTGAGATTTTTTTTTTTGTATTTCAGAAAGCATTTTTCTTTCTTTAAATAGTGTTTTGCTCCTTTTAGCTTTTAGTTTTCTGTCATTTGACTAGCATGTTGCAAGTTTTGTCTATCAGTTAGCATTAGCCTTTTAAGTTGTAGTAGGTGCTTTGCTTTTTTAGTTGTAGCTAGTGTTTTTTGTGTTTGTTTTTTATTTTAGCAACTTTTTGTCTTTCAGATAACATTTTGCTTAGCTTTTAGGTGTGTTTTGCTCCTTTTAGCTTTTAGCTTGTGTTCGGTCCTTTAGCTCTTGGCTAACATTTGTCCACTAGTATCTTTTTGTTAGCATTTAACCTTTTAGCTTTAGTTAGTGTTTTGCTATTTTTATCTTTTAGCTAGTGTTCTGTGTTTTTAGCTTTTGGCTATCACTAAGCCACTTTTGTCTTTTGGATAGCATTATGCCTTTTTTTTACCTTTAGTAGGTGTTTTTCTCTTTTTAGGTTTTATCTAGTATTTTGCATGTTTTAGTGATAGTTTTGCTATTTTTGTCAAGCTGCTTTCTTGTAGGAATGTTTTGCTCCATTAGCTTTTAGCTGGTGTTCTTTGTCTTAACACTAACTATAGCTAAGAGCCAAAGATTTTAGCTAGCGTTAGTTTGTTTCAGTGTCTCGGGCAAATTTCAGCAGTCATTCTGCACACAGCATTCCCACTGCCTTCTCAGAGAAAATTTGACTTTCTCTTGTTTATTTCTGAGCTTAGTTACCGTGAACTTGTTCTTGCTGTTGTTTTTGTGCTCTGCAGAAGTTTCTCCGAGTTGTACCAGAAGGCCATTAAGGATGCAGAATGCAAGCCCGGCGAGGCCCATTTGGGAGAGGCCTGGGTGGTGGATGAGAGGGAAGAAGGGAGGGAGGAAGAGGAGGAGCGGGAGAAAGAAGAGGACCTGAAGGCAGATGGGGTCGGTGAGGTGGAGCTCATGGAGGTTCAGGTGGAGACGGACGGGGGTGAAGAACAGACTTGTGATAAAGGTCCAAACGAGGAGACATACTCGCTCATCACGCTGCCCACTTTACCGTTACTGAGGGCCACGTCTCTGCAGGAGCCCCCAGCCAATCAGAACCAGGGGAGCGGCTCCCCACAGCTCCCTCGCAGCCTCTCTCTGGAGAGACAGCTGTCCTTCACTGATACATGTGACGGGTGAGTCTTGTTAAAGCTAACGATGTGTGCACCATGTCACTACAGTATATTTTGCCCTATAAGTCACAGTTTTTTGCATAATTTGCATTCCCTGTGACTTATACGCCGAATCAAAATATTTATGGATATTTTCCCATATTTATAAACCAATTTTTGGCTGAGATATGACCGTTTTCATTCATTCTGACTGAAAAAATTGAACACTACCATTTTCAGTCGCTAGATGGCATTTGAGTGTATGGCATGCCATTGTATTATGTAATAGGTAAAGGTGGCTATTAATAACACAATCAGCTTGCCATAGACTGCCACCGTTGTCTGCCTGGAGCAATCATCAAATCAGCTTCATTTCGCTGCGCCGCCCCGGCAAAATGCAGCTAATTTGATCATTGAAGTGCATTTATTAAGTAAACATTCAACTGAGACACGTTTACTATAATTTCGACCAAACAAATAACTGTTTTAGGTGTTTATCTTGTTAAATTTAGAAGAAATACACAGCAAGTCGCCCTCTGCACGTTCACCTTTCTGCGTATTGGCTTTTGAAATGCAGCTGATTTGACCGTCAAACTGCATTTATTAAGCAGAAGTTAGACTGAGACACACCTTTAGTATAATTTCGAGCAAACAAATTGTTTTAAGTGTTAATCTTGTTAAATTTTTGTTAAAGTCCTCCCATGCACGCTCCCGCAGCCACCATTTTGCATTTTTGGAACAACACCGGCCCACATTTCCGGGTTGTCAGCGGTGACGCATATTAGATGCGACTTATACAGCAAAGAGACGTATTTATGGATTTTTCCACTTTATTAGACATATTTGGACTGATTCGACTTATAGGGCGGTGCGACGGGTACGGCGGAAAATACGGTAATTAGATGCAGACATTTGAAACCTACATATGGAGTTTAATAAAACTGATTTTGATTTTTCTGACTAGTTAAAAACATCAGTTAATGTAAACTGGATTGAACAGTACTTACGTTTGATTTTAATGCTAAAATACCATTTTAATTAATGTCTGGTCGGGTGTGACTTTTTTATGAAGCCACAGAACAAAGAATATTTGAGGCTGTTGTTTGTTGACACAAAACTATTTTACATTTGTGCATTTCTTTTCTATATGCCTGTCAAAGGTAAAGGTCAAAAATCAAGGTCAAAGCGCATAGGTTTATGTATGGTCTATGCATATCCAGGCCATTGTTATAAATTGCCGTCTTGCTGTATAATAGTTTGCCGACAGATGTACGATGTGCCGTATGCGGTACTCTTGTTTTACAAAAGATTTTTAAATGATTAGGATGATAGCAGAGTAGTTTGTGGTTAAAGAAATAGTTCCTGTTTAAAAGTTGCTTTAACTCAAATATCTGCAAGAGATGAAAATTGCTGCTGACTGGTGATGCATGAATGCTGCAGTTTCTCTGCAGTGACGACGTTCGTTTGTGATTTGTTTACTTCCTTTCGACTAATAACTCTTACATACACTGTAAAAAAAATTCACGGCACATTTGCTGCTGCAGCTTCACCGATAAAATCCTACACTTAATCCTGTAGTTCAAAGTAAATTAGATGACTTTAAACTACTTCACAGTTCACGAATCCCAGTTATAACAAAAAGAAGAGCAGTTAGTGACATGAAGTTTTAATACTTTACTGGTTATCGAACCGGAAACTACACCATACATGCAAGCTCCTCACATAAAAAGCCCAGCTGACTGTGTTTACTGCAGTTTTAAATCACCACAAATGAAACACAAAATAAATGACTTTCTCCAAGCACCTTTTTTAGGTCCCAGAATGCTTTGCTGTCACAGCATTTCGCTGAATGACAGAAATTTAGCACCATTCGGACTTCACCGTGAAGTTAGAGCAAAGGTGCACATAGGCGCGCATTAGAGGAAGGAAGAAGCCTAAAGATTACAGTTTTCTTAGCTGAGCAGTGGATCTTCATCTGGAAAAAAACTGAACCACTTTATGTGCAAATATGACAACACAAATGCAAAATTATTAATAATAATAGATAAAGTTAAAGAGGCCAGACTGAGATGGTTTGAACATGTCCAGAGGGGGAACAGTGGGTATATTGGTGGAATGATGTTAGAAATGCAGCTGCCAGGAAAAAGACAACGAGGAGATATATGGATGCAGTTAGAGAGGACATGGAGGTAGTTGGAGTGAGGACAGCAGATGTAGAGGACAGAGATGGAGGAGGATGACTCGCTGTGGAAACCCCTGAACAGAGAAAAGACATAATAATAATTATTATAATACATTTTGTTTTGAAGTCACTTTTCATGGCTCTTAAGGACACGTGCAGTAAAATACAATGTAAGATGCAGTAAAAAAAACTAACAAACATTACAAGTAGATAACATAAATATGTCTTTGTGCGAGTTAGCTTGCTGCGAAGAAGGGAGCTTCTGAAAGAAAGAAAGAAAGAAAGAAAGAAAGAAAGAAAGAAAGAAAGAAAGAAAGAAAGAAAGAAAGAAAGAAAGAAAGA